ATGAGATGGTTCCCTCTACCAGAGTCTTCTGCAAGAATGTTCTATGTTYTGCCTCACCTTGAGCCCCAAGGAATAGAGCTGACTTTCTATGAACTAAAACCTCTGAAACCATGAGCCCCTAAACAAACCTTTGCTCCTCTACAGTTGTTCAAGTTGGGTCTTTCAGTTACAGCAGCAAAAAAAGCTGACTAAATTACCTGGTACAAGAAAAAAAAAAAGTGGATTTTGGTCTCCAGCTGCTTGAGTCTGATCACACCACAGCTTAACAACTGTGGGACCTGGGACAGATTACTTATTACTTCTCTCTGTACTTTATTTCTCCATCTATAAAAATGGGTGCATAAAAGTATTTACTACACTGTCATGTTGAGGACTGAAGGCAATAATATATGCATAGCCTTTAGCTAATGGCATTCCATATCATGGAGAAGGAAAGGCCCCACTTGATAAACTAATTAAAACTTAAAAACTCAGGGGGATTGTTAGAAAGGAGCCAGAAACAGAAGAGGGTGGTGAAACAATATAGCTAGATCTTAGTAGTAAAGAAACCTGCTAAGTAGTAAAAAGCAACAAAAGACAGAATAGGGTTGTTACTGAAATAACTGAATTGCTATTTACTCAAAGCCCAGAAGTATCTGCAGAGTGAGGATACACRAGTGGAGGAGAGACACACGGCAAGGAAAGATGAGCCCTTCCTGACTGTGCCCTTGGGAGAAGCTACATTTAGTTCTGGCTTAGGAACATCCTGAGGGTAAAGCTCCCACCAGGAGATCAAGAGTGCATCTCCACTGAGGATCGGGGCTCAGTCAGCATGTTAAGAACTGCCAGCAGAAGACAGAGGAAGAGTAGTCATGGCAGCAGGGCTGACACCATAGGATAGAAAATAAAGCTTTAGGATCCTGTTGGAAATAAAAAGTTAATGAGAAGAGGGAGATGATTTGTCTGTTGGAAAGGTCTGGCATCTCCCAAAAAGCAGAGTCCATACTCAGCTCAGAATTCAAGTGCCAGGAACCCAGAGAACTGAAAGGCAAGGGTAAATAGGGCAACTGAAGTGCACAGGAATAAATTAACTTATTTGTTCAAGGTTTCAGCCAGAAGAGTTTTAGTTCAACGATTGCCGATCTAGACAATAGCATTCATATAGTGCAGAAGCCAAAATACCTTAGGTTACTGTGCGACTTGGGGCTGACAATGGAAAGTTTGATCTGTTTCTGGGGGTATTTTTTTTAACCTACAAAGGTATTTGGGATGACACTGTGATAAACTCTTAATGGGGAGACATGAGTACTGGGGTTCATTGCTCAAGTCTGAGGATGCTGATTGAAGTACACCAGAGAGAGAGGCCAGGYTGTGCCTGTGAGATTACAGTTTTAGGAGTTCTGGTGCCACAGTGGTGGGGAGCCCACCTATCTCTCCACTGAATATAACCAAACTCTCTGGATGAAGCATAAAACACAATAACCTTAGTATTCTAAAATGTAAATGAAAGCAGCCAGATAATGAGAGGAACTTGATGTGACAGGTGATCCCCCAAGAGGGGGGCAGTTCCTATTTTAYTTTTTCTTCCTACCTTGGGCTTTGCCTAAACATGGTGAGGACCCATCTCAAAGTCGTAGAGGGGAGCAGTGGCAGTCTCCACGAAGAGACTCAGAGCAGCTCAGTCTCCACAAAGGTTCTGGGTTCACCCCTGGGCTGGGTACCAATGTCATGAATCCAGAGAAGGACAATGAAGGCTTTGAGAAATGAACTCAGTGTGAATCACTGTGCACGTCTCTGACTAACCCAAGTGCCACATGCAGGGAACACACCCAAGGCAGACACTGGAAGCTGACCTTTCCTAACCTAACCTTTCTTGGTGACTAAGAGGGTCACCCCAGGTGGGCTGCTGCAAGTGTGAGCGACACCAGAGGGAAAGACCAGGGAAATCAGCGGAGAATGCTTCAGGAATTCACTGGTGCAGCCTACAAAGCAGCCCATGTTTTTGAGTGTGTGTGTGAGAATGTGTGTTTGGGGGGCGGTGGGGGATAACAACACTCCCAGTCAGTAAAATGCAAAAACATATGAGGTATAGAAAATATGCAACATACAAAGAATAAGATAAAGGCGACCAATTCTTAAGAAAAAATCCAACAGTTGCCATCCCCAAGATGTCTCTGAAGCTAGAGTACAAAACAATAAAGCATCAGTTTAACTCAGCCCTGTGAGCTAAAGGTAAAACACACTTGTAACTGTTGGAAAAATAAAATCCTGGGCAGACCAACAGCAACCATGGAAAGGAATTAATTGGCAATGTAACAACAGAATGAAATCAATATGTAAAGGAGAAAATTGACTTGGGGGACTAAATACCAAGATGATAATGGAAAGAGTTGGGGATTCTGGAGATAAACCAATAGACACTATTGAATTTGAAAAAGAGAAAAAAAAAGTACCAGAAAAATATAACCAGAGCCTCAGGGATTGTGAGGCAATATTGGAGGATCTAATGTATTTGCTATTGGCATTCCAGTGCCAATGGGTGTGAGAAATCAAGGACAAGGGTTTCTGAGCTTGGTAGCTCAGATGGTGATCCCCTTGTGTTTTATCCCAGCTAATGAGCCCTGGTTAGGACTCTTGCACCTACTGCAGCTCAATAACAGCTTTATTTTCCTTTGGCATTTGCTATGATTAAGTTCTTAAATGTCCCCCACAAAGTCCACATGTTAAAGGTCTGGACTTCTGGGTAGCTTTTGGGAGGTAGAACCTTTGAGAACTGGGGCATGATGGGAGGTCCTTAGGTCACTGGAGGTGTACAACTMCCAGGGGAATTGAGGGACCTTGGTTCCTTTCTCCTTCTCTCTCTTTGGTTTCCTGATGATGAGGTGAGCAGTTTTGTTCCACTTCCTGCTCTTGTCATGATGTGCTGCCTTACCACAGACTCAAAGTGATGGGGTCAGATGAAATTCCTTGGTGTTTCATATACACTTTATATACATAGCCTGAGGATAATTTTTCATAAGATTTTCAGTGTGAAAAAAAAAAAAAAGATTTTCAGTGTGCCTGTGCTCTGGCTACAACCTACCACATGAAGTCAGGTGTGAGGTTCCTTGTAGAAAGAATCATGTTGGCACTCAAAAACCACRAGCCAAAATGAGCTTTTCTTTTTATAATTATCCAAAGTATTTTGTTTTGGTGTTGGACAGCTGATAACGCAGCATCCTTCCTCTTTATACCTTAAGGGGACTGTAGGGAGGGGTGATGAACTACTTTCATCTGTACCCTGGGGCAGAACACAATGAGCAGTCCCACACACAAGTTGACTGCATCCTGTAACCCGCTTTTGCTTTGGAAGAGTCTACAGGTTGGCTATTTCTTTTCCATAGCCATCAACCACCTTTATCTGTTTCAGACAATGACTTCCTTTCATTATTACCTGGGTACACAGACTTATAGTTTAGCCTCATCCACCTACTATTCTTACCCCTAAGGAAAGGGTTTTAATTGTTAGCACTTACAGGGAGGAAAAAAAAAAAGGTAAAATTCCTATTTTAATCAGATCTCCTATGGAAAGGTCAAAGCTCACAATCATAACTCTAAGAAGTGATGGTCATTCTTTTTCTACCAGTGCTGGGGGCTAAACCCAGGGACATTTTATCACTCAGCTACACTGCAAACTTTTTTTATTCTGAGACAATCATCTCCATATGTTACCCACCTGACCTCAAACTTGTGATCCTCCTGCCTCAGCCTCCTGAGTAGCTGGGATTATAGGCCTGCACCACATGCATAGCTGTGGGGGTGACCTTGATGTTAGGGCAATGAAGAGTTACACTATCGTGTTATCTCTGCCCATTTATTACAGTGAATCTCCTCTGGGCTGAGGAGGAGAGGCAATGGGAACAAAAGAGATGCTGCAGGGATCAGTGCCATGATGGAGGGCCACAGTGGGGACAAAGAGAGGGAGACAGGCATAAGGTCAATAAGGGACCACAGGATTTATCCATGACTACCAGCACCGTGTGAGTCATGGTATGTTCTTACTCATCAGCGTGACTCTACCAGGGCTAGAAGTTCAGATGCTGTGAGTTCTACCTAACATCAATACTTACAGAGGTGTGGTATGGGGAGGTTCAGGTGAGGAGATGTGGATACTGCTAATAAAGAAAAACTGGAATTTCCTTGGAGTTAATGCCTGATGGTGCTAATGATCACTTCCAGTGCCATTTGAAGTGAGCAACTGCATCATTTCCCAAGATTCACCCACCATCTGTTTGAATTAATGTTTTGTAACCTTTCAAAGGCCTTCACCTTACTGAAATGGGGCAATTCCTTGGCTTTCCATTTATTCTCTTCCCTGTAACTGTCATTTTGAGTTTATAAAAAGCCAATTAACAAGAGACACCATGCTCCTTTTTTCTGAAAACATTTCCAAAATTATTGGCTTGGATCCTGGAAACTGACATGGCTCTAACCACATTTTTAAAGAACCATAGTGGAGGTGGGGTGGAGCAGCACAAGGCTGGGATGTCTGTGAAACTGGACAAGATAGATGCGAAAGACCAGCTTGTACTTACTACCTCAAGTCACTTTTATTAACTGACAGCCCTGCTTGGAATTCCCTAGAACTCTGTGTTAATAATTTGTTTTGCTGAAGCTCTAAAAGTGGTAAGAACCTTCTACCATGGTGACTGCTCAAAATGAATAGAAAATAACTTGCATTATATTTTAAAATATCCATTTATATTATTTAGTTACTCTGATACAACTATCATTGCAGTGATGTCTGCTATCCCCTCTCCCAGAGAGGCTTCCCCAGCTTGCCAGGACTAAACCTCATAGAAGCCTTAAAAGTATCTGAATGGCATGTAAGTATGAAAGACTAATAAGATTTCATTTTAGAGACTAAGCAAAGACTGTTCAAGATGGGATTTTTAGCTTGTAAATGTCAACTATGATACATTTCAAAGTTAAATGTTTATTATTTTGCACATTTTTGCAGAATTACATTCAAAAACACTTACCAACCAAGACAACAAGTCTGTATTTCTCGTTGGTTTGTCGCCGATATGGTGTCACTTCTTCATAGGTGGGTACGTCTGCTGTATCATACTGATCGCTCTTCTTGCATTCATACATGGATTTATTTGTTTTCTTATCTTTTCTGCTAAGACGAAAACTTCTTCTAAAACCAGCTGCAAATAAAAAAAAGTGTGTGTATATTTATGTACATATATACATATATGTGTGTGTGTGTGTGTATATATATATATACACACACACGCATATAACATATGTAATAATTTTTAAAAAAACCCAAACAAAACCCTCAAAGTTGGGGTTGTAGCTTGGGGAGCGTATGCCCAGAATGTGTGAGGCGCTGGGTTTGATCCCCAGCACCACAAAGACCCAAAACAAAACAAAAAATATTCTTCCAAGTTGTGTCGAATTTTAATCACCGTAATTGTTACAAGTGCATTTAGTAAGGGAAACAACTTAGATACTAAGCAATTTCATCAAAATAGAAAATATATAAGAGGATTATCTAACATTTACTTATGTAGCAATAATAATATAAATTCCATTTGGTTCTAAATCATGAAGAGCCCTTTTCAAAAATCAGTGAGTAGAATAACTGTATAATGGAACAAAAAAAGCCAGAAATCACAAAGATTATTTATCATGGACTTACTGGTGAACACATTTCATAAGAGAAAGTTAAAAATCTTATACAGGCATTTAAAACATAAATGACAAACTCTTTCATGCAGTATAGTAAAAAAAGTGATATTCTGAGTAAAAACCTAACAACATACCTGTGGCACAGACAGCATCTATCATTAAATAAAAAACAAAACTGAATTAGGGAAAGCATAGTACTGAATATGCCTATGCACAAATCAGGATGACAGAATTAGGCTCAGTTAAGAACAGGTCAGTCCTAAGCAGTCATTTAACAATAATGTGATTCTATCCGGGTGGAGTAAATGACTGAGCTTCCAATAGAATCTCTATGCATCTATGATGTGAAGCACACAAAATGAAATAAGTTTCAGGATAAGTCATATGACGTTTTACTAAAATAATAGGTCATATGACATTTGGAAGTCACACATCTTTGCCCATTCCATGACCAAGGTAGTGCATTTCCCCTTTCCAATAGGTCATATGTTGTTTTACTAAAATAAATTTTTTATATCTTTCTTTCTTTTTATGTGGTGCTGAGGATAGAATTCAGCACCTCGCACGTGCTAAGCGAGCGCTCTACTGGTGAGATCCAGCCCCAGCCCCTAAAATAATTTTTAAACACTTAAAAAATTTCATGTGTACTTTATCTTTCTGCAGCTTGGACTTGAATATTCCAGCTAAAGTTGCTTTTCTTAGTTAATGCCAATTTCATTCTGTTTACTCTTCATGCTGTCACATGAGTCCAGTTTTATTTCCTTTCTAGATATGTGATAATCATCACACATACTATTCAAGACTGCACTAAGATGTGCAATGAACTCTCTAACCAACTTGATAGTCTCTCAAAATCCAGACTTTAAGGAGAGAGAAAATACTTCGCTTATTGAAACATTGTATGTATTCTACATCAGCTCCATAGCATCAGTAAGGGAAAATTAGATTTCATAGCATGAAATCTAAGTATACCTTTAAATGTATAAAAATATATTTTATTTAAAAAGAATATTCATCAAACTAGAAAAATAGAAGACTTTTTTAAATACACATTTTTAAAAACAAAATGTAAAAATGACATAATTGATCTATGTGAATTTGGGAGGATATAAAGGAAGTGAATAATTATTACCATTGGGTTTACAAATTAATAGGATGTAAACTAAATAATATGGAAACATGTAGTTGTATGACTCTCCTTATGGATTCAGAGTGTAACAAAAATTTGTCAAAATATTAAGAATAGACTAATAAAATTTGATCAGATGATATATTTCTGTGGCTCTCTAAGAGTTGCTCTGAGTTGAGGGGATCTTTGGATTACTTCAGGGAAATAATTGTATCTGAAGGTTTTGAAATGAGGAAGAAAGTCTCTCTTAAGGTTCCTTAGAGAGGTAAAGAGGAGAAGCACACCTCCCCATTCATGAAACCCAGAGACAAAATAGGAGGACTCGAAAGGGGAAATGCATGACCTTGGTTCTGGGATGGACCAAGATATGTGACTCTCAAAATCCTCTGTGCTGAGAAAATGGAACCCCCTGTGGGAAGGGCCCAAGGAAGTACTACTGTTCCTCTTGTTTCCTAGGACACTGGGAGAGACTTGTGAGAACCGAGGAAAAGGATCCCTTCTATGGATGATCTTTACAATAGCAAAAGAGGTGATGAGATGCTTACAATGACTCCCATGTGTTAGTCCAGTGGCTCTCAGACACAGGTCTCTTCCTAATTTGCAGCCTCTAGTTATCCCAACCCACCAGTTACCCCTAACTCTGTCACTTGTGACTGCTGACTCAAGACTGGAATCCAGAATAACTACAAAAATTATACATTAGCTATTCTAGTTAGAAAAGGTCAAATGTGGGTATTTCAGTGTTCTAATTTCAGGTTCCCATGGTTCTTGACTCCTGAGAAGCAATTATAGGATAAGCAGGTAAAACTACAAATTCCTTCACAATTATTCTTTGTATAGAAGGAGGGTTTTCCTTAAATCACTACAAACTTTTGGCACAGGAATGGACATAATTAAAACATAAATGCTTCATCCAAAGCAAACAAAGTCCAAAAGTAAAACCTGAATTTTTTTCTGATCAGTGAATCACAGCTAAATCCTAAATTTCAGAACAAGTATTTATCTAATTACTATTCACTGAAGCTTTTAACTTTCATCATAAACAGTTGGGAGAGAAGGTAGGGAAAAGAGATGATGATCAGATTTCTAAGTGAGGTTGTGCTGACAGACATCAAAAGATGGAGACCATGTTCCATGGGATGGTTTGGTGCAGTGGAGGGCTTCGTACAGAAGAGATGCTTGATAAACATTTCCAGAATTAAAGTAATYAGAAAAGGCAGTGACCAAAACCCTGTCATTCCTGTTTCACCTTATTCAACAAAGCAAGCATCACATATTTGATGTTTTCACAAGAGTTAAAATTCATAGATGTAGATCAAAGAACAGAACACTTTGTAAACACCTTAGAGCTGGAAGGAACTCTGGAAGTCATCCAGGCCTGCTCCCTCTCCTAGGCACAGCTGTCCCTGGTGACTGTCACTCTTAGACTCATACCCGCCCAGTTTTTCAGTAGGGACTTCAAATCAAGTGGGTACACAAAGGTTACAAATGAAGCTTCAGTACCTTGACCCATATACTTATTTGACAAAACAGGAGCAAAGGTGGTCAGCTGGCCACAGGAACCTCAGAGTGCAGGAGAGTCATTGAGTGTTAGAAGAAAGGCTGGAGGTGGGCATTCTGCACATGCAGTGGTCTCTGCCGCCAACTTACCTGCGGCTGTGTATCTTGGAGAGCTTCAGAAAACTTCTCTAAGATTCATTTTCTTTATTTTAAAATGCAAATAACAGCAGTATCCACCTCTCAGGTGGTTACAGATTAAATTGTTCAGGTAGAGCATCTGAGCCAGTCCCCAGCCTACGGTAAATGCTTCCATATGTTAGCAACAGGCTGATGCTTGATTATGTCTCCACCTACTTGAAAATACCTTGAAGGCAGGAACAAGTATTCCCATAACCCAGACTCTAGAGAGATGGGAAAAGTACATTCGGAAGCAGATTAATTATTCTAAAATTGGCTAATATTATAAAAGAGACAATATTAAAATGAAAGCCTGATTTAAATATGCTAATCAGGGCTGGTTTGCGGCTAAGTGGTAGAGTGCATGCTTAGTATGCACAGGCCATGGATTTAATCTCCAGCAAATTAATTAATTAATTAAAAATACCTCAAGTACTTTATTTAATTAGTAAGGCATTTAAAACTATTCTTTCATTTAAAGAAAAACAAGATTTTCTTTCTAGGAATGCATGTTATTTTTGTTACTACCTAAATTGAAACAGCATCCTTCCCTTCTGTCTTCCTTACTGGTATCTTTTGTTTACTTAACTGCTCCACATACATGTGATATATTTACTCACCCACATCATTCACACACACACTCATGTGCAAATATACATACACACATGAGTATGCAAGTATATATGCATACACAGAGTAAGGAAACAAGAAAAATTCCCAGAGTGACCAATAACATGGCCAGAACAAAGAATTTAATAAAAGTCATAAAACCTGGAGTCCTCATTTCTGATTATTTTATAGATTAAAAGAAAAAGGGCAATTTTTCTAGACTCTGTCCTCCTGGGTAGTCAGAGGTGACAGTGCACTTGGCATGCCCTTCTTGACAATTCAGAGTCTCTAATTTTCAATCTTCACTAAAATAATGAGTGATGGGTCAATGCACCTTGGTGAGTCTATGCATAAAGGAAATTAAACTATGTCAGAAAGGGACATTAATAATTTCTTACCTTTACATCTTGTTTCTCTTAATAAAAGGGAGCCCCCAAACTGTAAACTTTGAGTGAACAGAAAAGCCTTTTAGCTCTATGAATAAATAACCTGGAGCCTACTTAATTTCAGTCAATTTTCAGTACAAAAGAGCTGACTTTAAAATAGAAAAAAAGGGAAAAGGAGCACTGACATGGAAGGGAACCAGTTTTACACAAAATATGTTTTCCTTATATTTCACATTTTTTGTAATTTATAATTGGGTTAACATTTTTATGGACAGGTCCCCCCCCCCCCCGGGAGCTTACCCACAGCTGCTACAGATTTGTGTTTTTGAAAGGAATATCAGGATCACTTTGTTACAATAGGAAAGTGACTTTGGAATGAGACTACAGCTGCAGGTTGTCCCCTGACCACAAGGAGATATTACTTGGCTAATATTTTCCAGTAGATATGTTTGATGACTACTTTATTCATTATTTAATTGTATAGCTATGCTTAAAGTTAAGAAAAAACTATAAAGGGCTCCATTAAAGCATCTTGCTATCTGAAACAGACTCCAACAATATCTGTGTACATAGCTGTATGTGTCACTGATTTCATCAGCAAGGACTGCTGAAGCTAGCTAGATCCTGTCCAGATGCATCTCCATTGCCATTTCCAACAGCAGTACGTGTTTACCCACTTCACCATTCTTTCCTTAAAAAAACTTCTATTCAC